ACACGGTGGGTTTGTCTTCTAGTTCCACTCCGATACGTGCACACGGTGGGTTGGCCTTCAAGTTCCTTGATCTGATGCTGCGGGTTAGGCAGCTAACGGATTTCATTTAACGGCAAATCAGATGAAACGGCTTCTAAAGGTCAAGTTCATCTGATGCGCGTCTTTTACTTACCCTGGATCAAAGATTCAGGCTGTGCTTTGAACTATAGCTCCATTATCCATTTATTCGAAATTAACTTCAATTGAACGATTCATTTCAAAGTAAATTAGAATCAAAATCCCATTTCAAAACGAGCCGTTCTTTGTAAAATGAGTATTTAGCAGCGAGTTCCAAGGATGCCTCAGTGTACCTATTATTCAATTAGCTGTAAATTTCCCTCCTGAACGCAATACCGGAACTGCGTTGAATTGTGTGCAGGTCATCGCACGCATCTATTACTGCGTCAACAGATCCTGGTCCGGCAAAATTACCGCAGCTGAATTACGGCGCTCCAATCTACTCTCCGTAAGTGCTTCGTCTTTTATAAAATAAATTCGCTTCATTTTCATGAAAGGTTCCATAGAGTGCATAACGTTGCCTCTAACCTTGAATCAAAAACATTTATCACGGATGAATCAATCTATTTCATTTGCTGAAATTTCGTCTTTCATGATACTCGGTATTTACTACTTCTACAAGCTTTGCCCAGGATTAATTTTACTCTGGTTAAAAATCTAATATTTGTTTCAAGAAAAAATTGTTGTAATGATAGTATCGATCTTTTTCTATTATTGCTATTCATTCGAGAAGTGTTCTCATTTCCACCTTCAGGCCTCATTTTCATGTATTTATCATCAAATATTATCTATTGTACTGTGTTGTAAGTGTATTTTTTTCCTGCAGGTAATAAGTTATTTAGAAGACGAAGAAGATATTAATCAAATTACTGATTACTTCAGCTACGAACATTTCTACGTCATCTACTGCAAGTTCTGGGAGTTGGACACCGACCACGACTTGTTCATCGATAAACACGATCTCGCCAAACACAATGAGAGAGGCGAGTCAACATTATAATTATTCAAATTTTATGCCTTCAAATGATATGATTCAAACGTTAAACCGGATATTTTTTTAATTGTTGTATCTTACCCTACACCGCCAGATAATTTGATGCCTTTCATTGTGATTTTTCTGTATGCCGTTAATTAAATCTTATCATAATTACATTGAGCGATGACTGAATTCTCAGTGCGGTATGAATTTGTTCCAAATTCTTCATTTTGACACAGATCTCCTACACGGAGCGATCTTAAGATGCCTTTTCGATGGCAGAAATTACTTGAATTGTGGTCATTGAAATCATGTATAAAAGACGGATCAAGAATTGTTTTTTTATAATAGAGAGAAATTGGTTATTTCCCTTACATTTGGTTTGTTTTGCAGCCCTGTCAATGCCCATCATAGAGCGTATCTTCAGCGGTGCGGTGACGCGCGGTCGTGTACAGAAGCAGGAGCGTATGGGCTACCAGGAGTTCGTCTGGTTCCTCATATCTGAAGAAGATAAACGCCATCCTACTGC